AACGGTACTTCAATGTAGCATCATCAATGGATTTAAGATTTTCCAAATCAAATAAAAATCCAAAAATATCATCATATTCCCGAAATTGTTCAAATCTATTTTGAAGCAATGATAGAGCTTGATCTACTACATATAAGAAATAATTGACCCTAAAAGATTCTTCAGCTATTTTTGTCATCTCTTCACAAGAAATCTCATCAAACTGCTTCTTTCTACGTATAACTCTTTTTTCACGAAATATAGGTTCAATGTCTAATTCACTTGCAATCTCTTTAGCATCAATCACGGCCGATTCAAACCCAATTTCTCTATAGCTTTTGAAAAATGAATTGAGCCCTTTTAAATGGTCTATAGCAATGTCAATGTGGATGTCTTCTGTTTGCAAATGTTTGCTTACTCTATTAATATTATTCAACACTTCATACCAAATAACCATCCCAAGTAAGAATTCAAAATTCTCTATTTCATATATTGCTAAACACTCCGCCTCACTTTTTGTCTTAGGATCATCAACTCTTGCCAATTCAAGTAGAGCATTACTTATTTGTGGAGCTTGAAATCTTATTACTCTAATACTTTCAACAAGACTTTTCCAACGTGTTTGAGACAAAGGCTTAAGAGTAAGGCCATTTACATTATCTTTAAAAAATTTCCATCTTTTAGTAGATGATAAAAATAGAGTTTATATACGTTGCACCACTCCAAAGAAAGATATAGCTTTTGTACAACAAGTAGCCATATAATAAAGTGCAAGATTGAGACTATGATATCCACAAGGAGTGTAAAATGATTTAGAATTTACTTGTAGTAGTCCATTTTGTACCCCTTTATGTTTTCCTCTCATGTTAGCACCATTATCATATCCTTGACCCCTTTATATTATTGATATCAAGCTCTAGATTATTCAACATATTAATTAATTCATTAAAAAGTCCATTTCCAGATGTATCATCCACAAATAAAAATCCTAAAAAAAATTCTTCTACCTTCACTAGACTTGCTGAAATATAAACACATCTCAATACTATAGACATTTGTTCTTCATGACTCAAATCTGGAGTGCAATCAAGTATCACATAAAAGTACTTGGATTCTTTGAGTTTCTCGATGCTTATTTTCTTGATCTCACCCGCTAGCATAAGTATCAACTCATTCTCAATTTTGTGTCCAAGATAATGATAATGAATTTCTTTATTTTGAATTCGACGAATTTGCTCTTGCAATACAGGATCAAACTCAGCAATCATTTGAATTAAGTTTAAGAAGTTACCATTATTTTCTTGGCATATCTTCTCATTAACTCCACGAAACGCCAAATTATTTTCTGCAAGAGTTCTAACCACAGATATTATTCTCAACAATACTTGTCTCCAATATTCTCTATCCTTATTGATTTGTTCCTGCACAATTTTATAAATTGTTTGTTTCTTTTGAAGCCTTATTTCCATTTCAATCCATCTACTCATGTTAGTGATATGATCATAACTCACTTCATGTGTTCTTAGTTTTTCACCAATATTTTTCCAATCATTCGCACCATCATGTGCCAATTGAGTTTGAACCCCATTATTCTTGAATAGCTTACAACAAAAACAAAATATTTTATCCAAACTTTTTGAATATATCAAACATTTTTTATCATGATTCTCTCCATTTGGGTAACCGTTGAGTGTAATGAACAAAGGATGAGTGTCGATTAGCTACATCTTTTGGAAAAATTACACCATTATCTCTTACTGGACCTTTCAATATGATTAAATCTCTTAAATTCTGATTCATATTTTCCCAATTCCCTGGATCACTAATATCAAGGGAGAATGGTTCACTAATCTTTTCATTGATGTTTCTTTCATCCATAACATCATCCTCGATAGATATCTCTTCATTCACCAAACAATGATGTTTTTCAATTGTATTATCGTCGATATCATTCTTATTAAACTCTTCTTCGAGAATTGCATCGTCATTATATTTTTGTTTACTACGAGTAAAAAATTTATCAAGGGCTCCCTCTTGAGATTTAATTAATTATTCAACCTTCTTATGCTATTTTCTTTTAGATTCAAATTTTCTAGTAGACATAATTAAAGCAAATAACGGTAGAACCTGACTCAGAGTTCAAATTAAAAATATCCCAGATTCTCAAATATGCTAAGAGTAGGAGTTCAACAATCAACATGCAAGAAATAACCAAATAAATTTATCTAGGAGTTCAACAATCAACATGCAAGAAATAACCAAATAAATTTATCAAAATTTCAATTAAAGACACTTGGTTAGGTTTTAATTAAAAAAAATCTTGTTTTGAGAGATATTTTTCGAAGTGGAAAATGATAAAAATATCCCCAACAACATTTACTTAGAATGTTCCGAATGGCGAATGACATTTACTAATAACACAAACTTATATAGTAATTTTGATTAAGATACTTTACTATCGAACAACAATATGGCAGAGCTAGGGGCAAAAATTGGATAAAATTATTCACCAAACATGAATAATAAGTGAACCATCAGTCATCAAAAAATGCCTTAAAATTCAAGGACAATGAAGAACCAAGGAATAAGTTGAGTCCCTTTATGGTCAAATTCTATAAAACAAAATTTCCCCCGAACTCATTTTAACCAGACAATTTCCCAACAAGAAATAACCAAATAAAATTATTTTGCAAATTCTATTCTTGAAATATCTACTTCAAAATAGGCCTTGAAATTATATCATTGAAACTTAAAATTAGTTAAAAACTAGGAGTTCCAACTTCCAAACTAGAAACAAAGACAAGAACGAAGTGAAGAAAATGAGAATTAACTTGGAAAATTGACAGTCAATACCCCCTATCAATCTCAGCAATACCTCAACTCCAGAGAGTACAAAGGAGGAGATATAGAGTTATTATGAAATGCAATAAATAAGGAAGTATTACTTCCTTCCCTTACGAAAAGGAACTAGAGAAGAAGCAACAGTACACGTATAAAAGCTGAAAAAGCTGAAAACTTCTTGGTTTCAAGGTAATTTATATCGAAAATATTGGTATGCTTTGCCTAAAAAATTGAAAAGAGGTTAGAGCATAAGTGCTGC